GCCCTCTACAGGCCGGCGCGACGTCGCACAGTGACCTATCAACAAACGGCTCTCAGAACACTGTTCCTATCATATTTTGTTAGTTAGAGATAGTTATGAAAGTGACGCAATGACTAGATGAACTACGTGTCATAACTGTTATATAATCTCGCCTGAGAAAAACTGTCCACCACCTTTCAAGGTTCAGATGCTGTTGTGTTTATTTTTCAAATCTCGAGTAAACATGTTGATGGTTCCTGAGGCTCACTGAACTTTTGCTCCGTCCAGTGAAAACTTCCGAAAATTCTAGCGATTCCCCATAAAGGTCAAATGTCAGCAATAGTGATGTAGCTAGATGTGAAGTCAGATTTAAGCAGCGTTGATTGAGATCACGAACTCATGCATGAGGTATTGAGAGGCTTTTTTTCCTTGCTAACGTCGCACAAGCAGTGTTTGTTTTAAGAGGCTTTACGCCGATAAATTCGTCCTCGATTATGAACAAAAAGAAAGGTGAGAAATCGTGATAACGATAAGTGCAACCCTAGGTGTGAAATTTGTGCTGTGATCACCTGAAGTTTACCTTTGCAGCACATTTCATGGAAAACAGCAGTGGCACATTCAACATAGGGTTTAAAGGCAAGGGTCGTGCTTAGACTTACTGAAAAGTCCTTCTTGTGTGTAGTGGGCTACGTAATCCACTTCAGTAAACGCACCACTAAATGCATCACTAAGACGCTAGGCGCTTAGAATCCTGGATCCTCTAACGCCAAGAAGGATCCGTGCCCACCTACCATTCGATAGCTTATCGTGAAGTATGACCTGCCATGCTCTCTCGACTCGGACTTCTTTTCCCTCTCCAAATCTCACATTACCTCTTACCTGGTTGTCTGATTCTTAGACATCTCCGCCGCGTAAAGTAAAGGGACTTGTATTTTCTAAGTTTTTGACGATTTCTTTCCCTTTTTTTCAGTTGTGGTCAGTTAGCACCCGATTTTCACATTGAAGCGCGATTACCAAATCGCTTTGACCCTGCTTTTCTCCTTCGAGGGACTAGTGTAGATCTAACTGGTAGGGCGCTTACTGTTTACATTTTTACATAAGAGGTGATACTTATCATTTCAGGTAAGATTCCCATCTCCAATAAAAATAAAAATGGTGAACAAAAACTGAAAGTGGATAGCGGGCAGAAGGTGCAGCGATTCACGTTCATCCTAGCCACTGAGGTCGTCTATCAGTTTTTGTAGCTGTTCAGCCGGAAGTACAAAAGCAATAATCAATACGATGGTTGGCCCTTCAAAGTCATCGTGAAGTAAACAACGTTTTCAACTGCTTTCACGTTTCCAAGTAGAAGTCGGTTCCGTGGCTTATCTTATGAGGGCCACCTAATTTTTTAAAACTTTTTGTATAAAATAGCGCTGACTTGATATGTGGTATAATATCGAGGAAGCATGTTCCCATGAAAGACACCGCCGGAGAAGCACGAGAGCAGTGAGAGCCATCTGCCGTGCTTCTTGTTATCGCCATGCCGTTTGTCGAGAAATCGCAGAAGCTGAAGACAATGTTGGTGTTCACCTGGAAGAAATCACAAACAACGTGTGACCCACCTTCAGTGGAATGAAGCCGGCAATGGCGGTTGTGAGGAACATGACGACCGCGAGGGCCACTTGAAGCCAAACG